AGCAGGAGCAGGCTCTCATCCATCACCTTCATGTACACCAAAATATGAAGCCATCTCCAATCGCAGCCTGACTGGAGAACACTTATGGAATTCACGTCACCTCCAAACAGCTGCGAAACTTCTTGAATGGAGTCACCCATGGACAGCTACCTGGAGACCGGCACTCTTGATCTGGAAGACCAACATCGAGCAGCTCCGACAACGTCGCTACGGTCCAGGATATCATCTTCACCTGCAGTCGCCAAGGCGGGTTGATGGTATGGACCGGAAGTTCCTGGAATGGGAAGACCGATATTTTCTTCGTGGACCCCGGACTGAAAGTGAACGCTGACGGTTACATCAACCAGCTCGAGGAGAATATCCTGCCTTGATTCGTTGTCTGTACCATCGTGGAAACTTCACACTGCTACAGGATAGGGAGCACATCGAATATCTCGCCAAGTTGGAATCGAAAGACTTTGAGTACATGAAGAAGACGGAATATTCAAGTGTGTCACCCGTCCTGAGCCCCCTCGATTGCGGTAGCTCAAAAGGGTGGTCTACAGTCGCGGAAAAATCGGTCGCGTGGCAGAATCTCTCGATGGCGTTCGTCCAGAAGGCTGTGGCGGAGTTTCGTGATCGTGTACAATGTGTTGTTGAATTTGATGGTGGAAATGTCCAATCAGAAAAATAAATTGTAAATTATTATGTTTCGGAGTCGGAGGGGAAAAGTGTCCTTTTCTTGGCCCGCTGTATGTAAATTGTTCGTCTGTTTGTTTGTCTGTCCGGAAATTCGGTTCGACCTGAAGAACGACTTGGAGAGGTCGGGTCAAGGTGGGGATGGGTAGGGCATGGGACAAGATGTAAAGAGCACACTTGACCTATGCTAAACCCCACCCACAGTAGGGGCATGCGTCTAATGTTGGCGGTGGCAGACAAAATTCATAAATCGCTTCCAGAGCAGCTTAGAGGTGGGGAAAAAAGGAGTGAAGTTGGCAAGGGGTTGGCTGGCTGAGTGGAGGAGACACACTCGGGATGGACGGATTGTGCCTGAGATGGACGGTGTTTCCCATGAAATTCAATTAACCCATTCTCGAGATAGTTAAGAGATCTTAAAAAAGTCGATTGGGAAGAGGATCATCTGAGCGGAAGTCAGGCACCCTTTGGTGTGTTGATGTTGTGAAATTGAATGAATAAATAAATAATTAAATAAAATGAAGTTGTAGTTCGGTTCCAGAGCACTCCAGAAACCTGGAAAAGGTGAATCGTGGTCAGAGGATCATGGGTTGAGAAATGTGACATTAATATCACTTTGGATTCCTTTTGTGACATCCACGCCATACGGGAGTCAGCCCTTGATTCTTTGCTATGAGTTCCGTGTCGAGAAAAGTGGAGTGCGGCAAGCTCTACTTGACCCACTGAGAGTAGCGACCGTCTTCAGGGTGACTCACATTCTGTTGGGTGCAAGGTCAAACTCACTGAGCCAATGTGGAATTGGTCTTTCCAAGGCGACGGCTGAGTTTCAGGACGATGGCTCGTGTTCTCGGGGGTCCTAAGCAGTATTATAAGACATTTATTACTCACAGAATCTGGGACTATTAACGGACTTCTTTGGTGTCACGTCCGTCCTATGCTTGAGTGGGGTGGAGATGAGATGGCATGATCGGACGACAATAAGGTTTTTTTTGTTTCTTGAAACCATGTCTCATTGACTTCAAGACGTCTAAGAGACCAATTGTTACAGAGAGAAGTATACTTCATACAGGGAGTGCGGTTCACGAAATGCGACAGGGTCGAGCGTGGACAACAATTCATCTCCGGAGGAGCTGCTTTTGCGTACATTAGGCGTTATACTGGCGGCAACTCGCTTCAGAGACCTAGTTACTACATCTATTAGGTTGTCCGGAAAGTTCTTAGCGTTTTGGGTGTTTCACTTTAAACGATCGTAACTTTCTTAATACTCATCGGATTTAATCGAAATAGGCACCATTCGAATCAGCACACTTTTGCCAATGTGACAGCAGTCGAGAAATCCCATAAAAGGAAAAACTGGGTGGTCGAGAATCCACGAAATCTACGAAGGTCTTTTTTGCCTGGTCTTAATTGAAGAAGTATTTTTCAGCAAGGAAGTTCTGAAAATGTCTGAAAAGGTGACAGTCGGTTGGTGAAAGGTCTGGAGAATATGGTGGGTGAGGTAGAACTTCAACCCCAATTCGTTCAATTTATGGAGTGATTTGTGAAACGTGTGGGCGGGCGTTGTCATGCAAAAGAATCGGACCCTTTCTTTTGATAAGTGTTGGCTGCAGCTGACAATATTTTCGGTACATTTGGTCGGTTTGTTCACAGTAGGGTTCTGCTGTGATGGTTTGGCCTGGTGATGAAAAGTTATAGTGGATTACAACAGCCGATGACCACCAAACCTGACCAGAATTTTTTTTCGTGAGGGTTCGGCTTTGAAAATTACCTCGGTGGTTCCTCCAAATCCAACCACTGTCCGGAACATCTCCTGTTATCATACATGATCCATTTTTCATCACAGGTGACAAATCCGGTTCAAAACGGGTCAATTCTTTTGCGCAAAAGCAGCGAAGAAGGAACCTCGAGACGTGCCGATTCCTGCCGGTCACTCCGATTGTGGGGCACCTAATTGTCGGGTTTTTTCACCTTCCCAATGCGTTTCAAACAATCTACAACACTGGATTTGCCAACGCCTAGCTTTTCTGCAATCTCTCGAACTGTTTGGGATGGGTCAGCCTTCAAAATCTCCTCAAAATCCTCGTCAGATATTGCTTTAGGTCGACTGCCATGAGGTTCATCTTCAATGCTGAAATCTCCTGAACGAACTTTGTTGAGCCATTGCAGCACAGTGCTTTCTCAAGCACTACTTAGGGCCCCCACACCTGAGTTAATTTGCTGAGCTGTCTTCGATCTGCTGTTGCCCCATTTATAGTCGAAGAAAAAACAATCGTCCGAACCGAAGTGCCTCTTTTCACTATGTTTGAAAAACATCTTTGAAAAAAGGCGGAGTTCATTAAGCAATGTGTATGAAACGGCAATATATATTATATCATGCAGATAGCGCAAGAAATTCTCTACAGGATTGGCTACTGAGAAGCAAGGCAGAAAGAGTTTTTAAACAGCAGTGAATGTACAAAAAATAGGTGCACAAAACGCTAAGAACTTTCCGGACAACCTAATATTGCCCCACCGTCATCAAGCACAAAAAAGCAGGATAAGCGCGCGCCTGAAGCCATTCGAACAATTATCCAGTATCTAGACAAGCGGTAAAAAACTTACTTGCTACAGTCTTATTCGATGTGTTGCTGGGGCATACCGGGTGGGGGAGTTGGTGCTGGGGCGCTCGCTCCAGTTCCTGTCTGCACCAAGTTGTGGAAGCTGGTGGAGAACGGGTTTTCGCTTAAAGACACATGGTACGCTTGAACTCATTGATGGTATTTGAGACTATCAGCCCCCCAGCTATCGATCGATGTGTAGTGCGTCCGACCCACTCCCAAAAAGCTGCACGGTCTAGACTTCGCAGCCGTGGGAGAAGTACGTAATTCCCTTGCCGGCTCGTCCATTTTCGCAAACTCACGTTTTATACTCCAACATCGTCCGCGCGGGGCGCCTCTGTCGCGTGCAGCTCTCTTGCGCTACCTTTTGCCAACCCCTCTAATTGCGCTTCGAAATACAAGTAAAACGCAATTTCTTTATGCGGATAATTTAGGAGCTGCAAGATAAGTACCGAAGATGATGACGAGGGCTAGAACTCAAGCAACTGTGGTGCTTCTGCAATATCCCTCAGAGGCCGCGCATTCCCACAGAACATGACAATAAAAACGGCCTAAGCGTCCCACTCGTTAGTTTGAAGTATTTCTATAGCATTAGAGCCGGATTCGAGCCGGATCGCAGAAATGCACACGCGATTTTAATTTATTGCGTTTCCTTTTTTTCAATTTTGTTTTATTTACATCTACATTCGTTGTTGTTCATTTCTAGCCTTTGTCATCTTCATCACCTTCTATTCGGACTTTGAAGCATGAGCAATACCTCAAATGTTAGGAAATTGCGTTTTGCTTTCGTTGTCCGTTTTTATTGTCATGTTCTGTGGGAATGCGCCGTCTCTGAGGGATATTGCAGAAGCACCACAGTTGCTCTTGAGTTCCGCCCTTCGTCATCATCTTCGGTTCTTATTTTGCAGCACCTAAAATGCTTATCCGCCCCATAAAAAAAATTGCGTTGTACTTGTATTAAAGCGCAAGTAGCAGGGTGTTGGCAAAAAGCCAAGAGAGCTGCACGCGACACGCGCCGCGCGGACGATGTTAGTAAAAACGTGAGTTTGCCAAATGGGTGGAGCGGCAAGGAATAACGACTTTCCCACGGCCCCATACTCTGAACCCCATGCTGCTTCTTTAAGTCAGCTCCCTGAACGCGCCCAGCTCCGCATAAATGTCACATCGCTTCCGCATATAGCTCTGGACGCGAACGTGTTCTGCTGAAAACACTTTTCGATATAAACAGATTAATGACTATGGTTGCTAAAATCTAATAAATGAGACCATTATTGAGCGGGGGTCGAAAGCACAAAGAGATAGCTCAGCTTCCGTTTCGCACTTCCCTTCAATTTTCCCTTGAAGCCAGCAAAGCAAGGGAAAATTTCCGAACACGTTCTGGGCATTTTCACGTTTCGCCTCTCATTTGGTTAGAAAAACCGCTGTCAGCCCCCAGAAATGGGAACATCCACAGGATGGCTGGTTCACGTGCCTCCTTCTTAGCGCCACACAGGGAGAGCGCACCAATGAGGAGGGCGCTGGGACCTGCCCATATGAAAGCAGTGGACTGTTAAGTTCTAATGACAGTGAATTTTACTTGTATGTTCCAAGGAAACTCATAGGTATTCTTACTGCAGAAATTCGGCCGGCTTGTTCTAGTCAACTTTAGGTACAAAATATTTATTATATACATATATCACATTCTTCACAGCTATGCACAATGGTATCGTTTCAGAACGAGTAAAAATACTATGAACAGGACACTCTTCTTGTGTGTTTTTGCTTTGCGACATGAGCCGCCATTGACAGCGACTCGGAAGTATAGACAGAGATCCGGTGAGTGTCAGGAAGTTCCTTAGAGATGATCGAGTACAGCGTTTCCAATTCCGATGCGAGCAACTGCAAATGAAACACTGAAGATAAGAAGTAAAGCTACAAACGGGGTGGGGGGGGGTGGTTTTGAGTTGTGATTGGTTATCGTAATAAAACTGGCCAATAAGCAGCGTAGGCAGTTTATTAGCCTCAGAATTGATATACCACTTACCGTGCTGTAGCGAAGATCAAGCACAAGGTGCTGAAGCCGTCGTGTATCGTTGAGATATGGGGCGTACTGCGAGAGAATTTGCTGGATTTCTTCTTGTGAAAGTGTGGATACATTGAAGCCGAAATCTGAAATGTAAACGTTAAGCAAAATATGAAAATGTTCTTCATGTCTGAAAATACCGTTGGCACTACACCGGTGTAACGCAAGTGCAGGAGGCGTGCGGTCGCGACGCGGTTCAAGGGCGTGCTGATCCATCTTCTAGGCTGTCTTACGGCTTTCATTACGAATGTCGGTCCACACTTTGACGACTCACACATTCTAACTAATTGACGCGATTTTCATATAACTATGACATTTCCAGGTCAAATCGACCGGGCGCTGGTGCGAATACCGCGCACGGAGACGTCACATGCAACAGTGTCTTCATCGCGTGGCCACAACGTGAATCTCCCAACCGGCACGCCTCATAAGGCCAGCAATTTGCAAAATGAAAAATTGTGAATCTGCTTCAAATAGCTTTGAACAAGTTACCAACCTAGTTTCAGCACTTGAAGTTGCGATCGATGACTTCTCGGTAGAGCAGCATGAAACGCGGTCTGGAGCGCCATCACTGGCTTCTCACGCCATCCAATTCGTAGAGTAACTGTAGATGGAGGTGCGCCACCTTAAAACTTGTTCGTTAGAAAAATGATAGTGAACCAAATACCAGGAAGAAATTTTAAGAAGACGGCTTGTCAGAAGGTTCATATGCATGCCGTACCACTTGTTCAGAGCAGGCGTGGCTGCGGACCTAGCTGTTGCGTTTGATTACTGTGGCGTTCATCCAAAAGCCTTGTGTGTCCGTTGAGAAAGCGCAGACATAACAAAAAAATGTTGGTGCATGTTTTGCCCGAAATGCAAACTGTACACACATAGCTCCCACTCTACACCGAAGCAATAAGCCGTGACCACGCCCCGTCCAAATCGCCGTGAAATGGTACTCCGGGAGTTAAGCTCTTCATTGTGAAACTGTAAATAAGTAACTAAGCCATTGAATATAAATAAATAAATAAATATAATGAAGTTAATAATCAAACAGCAATATAAAGTCTGTGTACTCACCCGCATTGACAGCATGAAAAACTGGAATGATGAGCTGTTGCTGAAGCAGAGAATCGTTGTCGTGAGCATAGATTAACTGTGCATCCGACCCGTCCAGTAAATATTCAATAGAATTCGATTCGTCAGTTTCAAGACGGAAACGTTTCAGAGAACGACCACAAGTTGACACGAACGATGTCAGCCTCTGAAAAAGACCTTTTCTGAGGTATAAGAAGAGCAAGAAGTGGAAAAATTCATAACTGAAATTACCCTAGAAGCTAAAAATAGCAATAAAAACTATTTATACAGAAAACAAGATTTTTTCGCCTTTTAGAGGTGTAGAGATGAACAGTGATTAAAGGGTGAAATGCCAAGTTGTGGTTCACAAGGCGCTATTCGGCTTGGGAGGGGCATTTTGCACTTGTGCGGATTCTCTTTGCTAGCTGATGGTAATGAACAGGTTCCACATCGGTCTTATGAGGCTGTGAAATGGTATAAGTGAGCCGCTCTGACTACAGTAATTTACAGATCCCCACAGGGGCTGTAAATTCCTGTAAACGGGACCTAAACAGTCTTCGCTAGGAACCATTTGGTTCCCCATGAAGCCAAGCTGCGCCAATTCCCTATTAACGGCTTTGCTTCTTGGCACCGGTTTCATCACCCGCCAGAGTTAAAAGCAAATGAATCACTGAGTGCTAGGAAAACACTATTTGTTCCTTGCTCCTTGTTAGTCCCGCTTTTGGAATTTCAAGCCAAACAGATGCCATGTTCATGTTCGAGAGTTAAACCACCTTTCGCGACAAGTTTCTAGCCAAATCGTGACACAGACCCAAGCCTCGCTCTGGGACAGCTTTGGGACACTGACCTGCGCTTAGAGCCACCAACCGTGAGTGTAGTACTGGCATTAGTAGCCACAGTTCGCCCCGGCCTATTGTTATGCATGAAAATATAAACATTCGGGGCAAGCAGGGGCTCTTACCGCACAAATGGTCCAGTTATCTGAACCTGACAATTATTACACATATTACACACATGTATTTGTTTATTTTCGCAAGATTTTAAGGTGAATTTCTGGCAACATACCCTGTAGGCGTGGTTCTTCGCAATTCGACTGTCATTGGTGGGCGTAGTGGTAGCCTGAGGAGCAGATGCCGTAGCTTGATCAGAGTTGGCAGTTTGCACAGGTCGCAACAGAATCTCGATGTCAACGAGGTTGTATCCTGGAAAAAAGTCGAATCAGTCCTGTGATAACCGCTGAACTTTGACGGCACATTCCACTCTC